CAGGAATTTCACTCCCCAGTAGCAGCAAGGGAAGCTTCTGTTACAGGTAATTATCAGCCTGATGTATTAATATTAGAAGCAGGTATTTCTTTGATGAAAATTCCCTTGTTCTTCAGCTGTAGAATGTTCTAATTAGAGCTGAAAAGAAAAAATACTTTGCTGGGATTTGTGACAGCTGAAATCTTTTGTGCAGAGACTTTGCTTTCCATATACTTTTTATGCCTCCATGTTTTCTTTATTGCCAGGTCAGTCATCTAGGTTTCCTAGGGGATCACCCAACAGGCTTCTGTACCAGCTGAGCTTTAAGGCTTCTGAGCCTTTGAGTCCATATAGATTAATAAACAGCTTAAAATCTGGATGTTCAAATTTCAGACGTGAGTTTCCCAGTATCCAGTAATGCAACATTTTGGAGCAGTCTGCTAAATAGACAAGTCTGGGTCACGGCTGCTTCTTTGAACAATATCCACATACTATTTCACACTGAACCTGAATGAAAGCAAATCCTTGATAAAACAAACCTACCATAATGGCCAACTTGCTCCTATTTCTTTTACAGACATTTTGAATACAGAAAATTACACACAGGCCTCATTGCTACTGAAATAAAATTTAAACCAATACACAAGCTGAAATCAATTTCAAGTGTGAATAAGTGATGTTACAATTTATCTTTACAATTTATTTTTTCTTAAGAAAAAAAAAAAAAAAAAAAGGCAACGATCCTGCACTTCCACTTTGTCAAAAACCTTGCTGGAGTAGGAAAAATGACAGCACCAACATCAGCAGAGTTGTGCTCAACTTCTTCCATTCTGGGACATCTTTCCTACAGCCCTTTGTTCCATGGGCTCCCATGACTCTTGTTCCATAAGGGGCTCTCATGGCTCCCCAGTAGCAACCACGAAACTTGAAAACAAAAGAAAAATGAGAAAACACATCCCATGAAGCTCCTGACTTGGCCCTGAACCTTTTTTTTGAACATATTAGACTAATCAGGGTTGAGAGAGAAGTCATTTATTTATAATAAACACTTGCATGCAAAAAAAAAAAAAAAAAATAAAATCTCAACTCCCTTAACTAATGGTTTTTAAAAATGCTTATTCAAACTGACATATGCATGACAAGTTTCAGCTCACTACGATTTAAGGAGGAGGAGTTATACCGCCCAGAAAAATGGTGTTTATGACAGAAATGACAAAGGATCATTCATCATAGGGTTCTTCTATGTGGAGTAGTAATAAAGCCTAAATGAGACTGCACTTCATTAGTAATTTATTTTACAGATCACTATATATACACAAATAGTATAACTCTATCACATTTTTATAGTGCCATTCATTACAGTACTTCACATACTATATCCACATGACAACACAGAAACGCAGCTTTCTCTGGGGAAGACAGCAGCAGCCAACTGCAGAGCAGGGCACAGGGGGGAAACTGAAGCGTTTCCTGGCTCTGAAGGGAGCCAGAAGAGCAGGAGTAGGAATTCTCAGGTGAAAAAAGAAAAGGACAACATAAAACAATGGAACTGAACCCTCCAAGATGGGCAGCTAACTCAAAGAAGAGTTTTACACAATTTTGGCTTGTCTGACGCCCCATTTGATTTGGACAATAGAAATAAAAGAGAAAGACTGAGCACCTTTGCCTTGTCCAGGCAGAGTGACCAACACCAGACTCCCACCAGAGCTCCCTGGCTGGAATGCTCCCTCCCTCTCACTTGATCCTTGAGCACTACACTGGCGTTTTCCACTTGTCACAGGAAGGAAAAGAGTATCAGCGCAATTGCTTTCATCAGTCTGTATCTGGGACACGACTCTTCAGGCACGGCAAAGGACATATTCTCAGATATCAAGAAAAGGGATGCAATTCCTTCCCTACTAAGATCTCCAGGAAGTGAGGATTCGGATTTCCCCACCAGAAAACAATCCTTGAACTGTCACACTTAGAGGCCAAACATTTCCATTAATCTTCCAGAGATGAATGGAGACTCCCGCCTTCCAGATGTCCCTTAAAACGCGGTAAGCTACACAAACCCACAGAACGCTATGAGAAGGCAACAGCCAGAAGGACACCTACAAACGACTCATGACAACTGCTGTTTTGTGACTAGTTCGCTTGCGAAGTAAGTGTGGGGCCTTTGAAATAACACCTGCAATGCGTGCATTATGCAAACACTTTCTGAAATAAAAAAGAAATGCATTGCTTTTAACTAGTGAGGTATGATTAAATTCAACACGTATTCTCTTGATTTTCTTGCCAAAAACTCTGCTGTAAGAACCCTGATAAGAAGGTAAACGGCTTGTCGGTGCTAGAGCCTCCAGTTTTAAAAATAAATTTTAAAGTAAGAAACTTCTAAGTAAGGCCCTTGCACTTCAAATGTAATTCAGGAACATCGGGATCTTTGATGGTTGGAGAGAAAACACGATTTTACCTAATAGATTTTTTTCTCTCTCCTGGTAAATAAACTAGAAAAACAAAAAAAAAAATCAAAACCATCAGGAAAATGGGCACTAAGTTAAAATCTGTTTTACAGCAGGGGAAAAGGTTCCCGTAAAATTTGTCAATACTGACTTTGATGCCTTGTGGGAGCTTGAGAATAAATACATTTACATTGTTTCTCCTATGGCTCTGGTTTTAATGTTCTTTTTCAAATATTCTATTATCAAAGTGCATAATTTTAGTCCACAACATACAGTATCTAATTTGATAAGAGGTTGAGTAAATGTACATTAATATAATTTTTCTTTCTCTGTTTGTCTATATTGCACTTCTTTCCCCTGGGTTACTGTGGTAGACATGAACTACTAACAGTTTAAGAAATGAAACCGCGGCATTTGACATACTGATTTAAAAGGCAGGTCTTAATCAGCTGTTTAAGTGACCTGCATTCTGTCGGTATTACATAAAAAGAGGAATACTGACCACCTGCAAAAACTGTAATGCCCTATTAAGTTAACGTGTCTAAATTAAGTACAAGAGTATTTCCCATTGAAACCGGTAACACTGTTTAAATCTGGAAGTAAGGCAAGTGTGTAAATGAAATTGGTTTGGGCTCTCTTTGCTATTTTAACCGCTAGACATGCTGGAAAGATTTTTTTGTTGCTCTAAGAAGCCTGTCATCTGATGAACAAATGCAGGAAGGACCAAACATTGTAGGAAATAACATGAAAATAAACTTTTATTTCCACCCTGTTACTCCCCAAATCATTTTCCTCAACAGAACTGATTAACAACCCCTAGGAGCCTAGAGCCGTGAGCTCTGAACAAGAACTTCATTACAAAAGGTGTGAATGAATGGATCCAGGGCAGTGGAGCGGAGCAGATCCACAGGTAGGCATGCGTAAAAGGTGAGGAGGAGAAGAAACTCCCAGAACTAATATTGACCTGGACACTGCTGGCAGCGGGCCCAGGAAGATCACAGATGAACAAAGAGACTCAATGTAAATACAGTCTGGAAGATGAGAAGTCTATCTTCCACACCAGAGGTAGAAAAGCTAATTAAGAGATTTGGCAAGTTTGGAAGATCTGCTGGCCATTTCCCATTTAGACGAACCAGGGAGCTGCACAGTTTTCAGAAAGAAAAGAAGCAGGAGCTGGTTGATGCTTAGATAAACTTTACAGTCATTCTACATCTAACAGTTTTACCTAAGAAAGTATGGGAATTTTCTTCTTACTCCTTCCTGGAAAAATTCCCAGTCAACCAAATCAGCCTATGCAAACACACTGTAAAAAAGTCTCATTAAAGAAAGAAATATTGCACGATGCTACTTACCTGCCTGTCTACTTCTGGAAGCAAAAGCAGGAGGTATTGTTGAAAATGCTGAGGTAAAGAAGCAAAGGTGTGTTTATTTATTAAAGCCCTCAGGTTAGTGTTCACTAGAATAGATCCTGGTGTTTCTATGTCAATATCCTCAGCTTTGGTCCATTTCAAATGTCCTGGAGTAAATAAACAGAAATAACTTTAAACATAAATAAAGGAAGAAAGTGAGAACAATTCTTCTTTTTAAGTTTTTAGCTTTTATTGTATAACACAGCAAGCTCCAGAGAAACAGTACTCTGAGAAGGGAACACAGCCTCTTCTACGTGTCTTAACAGCCCCTTTTATACTCCCTGTACTCGTCTCTTGAGCTCTTACAGGATCCATGTTCCAGTCAACATCACAGCTGACATTCTTACTTCCAGCTCAAGAGATCAACTCAACTCAAAAGCAGCAGAAAATTTTCCTGTCATGTCATCAACATAATTATAAGCATCTATTTCCAAGCAAAAGGCTGCTTGATGAGGCTGATGTGAATGAATCATCACGGAGAGCTGCTCTTTTGCCATGCTCTGCATCTGCAGTGCACTGCGGCCTATGTAGCTTGTCCCACAGCACCTGCGAAAAACTACCTGTGTGAACAGACAGCGACCATGGAGATGAGAATATTTCATGTATTAAATTTGTGTCTGAAAACATGCACTTTTCAGAATTTCCATAAGAACCTATGATCTAAAATGGGCGACACACAGAAAGCAGCAGCAGGGATTATCAAAGGTTTAGAAAACAGGGTCTGTGAGGAAAAATACAAACCTGGGAATGAGTAAGACTCAGCAGAGGGAAGGGGAAATACATAAATGGCTGATGCACAGGGGTAAAGAATAATGTCCTCCTACTGTCCACAGTGGATAGTAAATATAACAAGCTTAAACTCTTGCAAGGTAAGAAATATTTCTGTTAAGATACTGCGAAAAGGTAGCTTTCACCCACCAAAGACAAGGAAACGCTGGGTTAGATCCATAGGGAGGCATTACAGTCTCCATCAGTGGAAATCTTTAAGAATTCGTTAGACAAATACCTGTCAGGAATGACAGGCGTACAACTGATTTTACCCTATGACTGATGAACACATGAGCTGACCACTGGAGGTGCCACCTGGTCTCCTTCTGTTATTATCTCCACGATAATATTTAAAAGATATATTTTTAAAGCTCCTTAAAGAGCACTTACTGCTACCATCCTTTTCTCCTCTCACTCTTAACATATTATGACACTCAATGGGGAAATGGAAAAGGAGGGGAGTCCAGGCGGCTGGAAGAACTCAAAAGCTTCTAACCCCTCTCAGGAAACTCCTCCAGGTTTTGGTCTGCTGTACTTTCAAATATTTTAAAGACGCTACAAGAGGGGTCTCAACTACATCATACCCTAACTTCAGCAGAATCTCTAAAAAGGCATTTGAAAAGAATGTTCCACTGCTGTGAGCAATGATGGCATCTGGTATTCACACAGGACCTCTCAGCAAGGATTACAACTGACACCTGAAGAAGAATAAATACATTTTACAAATGGGGGAATTTGGGCATACTGATTATTAGGAACTTCTCAAACGCTACAAACTACTTAACAGTAGCATTAATAAAAATAATGCAGTTATGCTTTCGATTTCTTGGAAGGCCTACAGTGGTCTCCCCTGAAAGGCTGTAACATTACCCTCAAAATGTACAAATGAAAGAAAATGCATCAGATTTGTAAATTCTAAAAGCTCCCCTTCAGCCACAGCCCTCCCACAAACATTCTTGCAATTTCCTTTTACTTTTCAACAGACAATACTAACTGAATGAGACAAGGATTACTTTGCACTCAGCACAAGATAACCTTTTCCAACACATACTTCCAACATACTGTATTTCAGTACTGCAAAGATTCCATTAAACAAATGAATGCCCTGTTATAAAGGACAATTGTATCGAAAAACAGCTCATTTTCATGAATGCATCACAATAAACTGTCCTCACCATCTGTTCCACCCACTAAATATAAATGCAAAATGAACACAGTCCCCAAGCGTAACACAAGTAGCATGATGTATCCGTTTTTAATGTCTGCATGCATGCCCTTTTCTTTAATCAATACAGAATACATATCCCCATCTTCTAAGTGATTCCAAATTGGAGTAACATTTTCCCCAGCTAATGCTTCATATCCTATGGAAAGACATACACACAGAGATGCTCCAAACTAAAACAAGATCTATGCCTGCAAAGTCAGTAACGCCCTGTAGTGGCAGATATTTTAATAGTGTGAAAAGCCCAAGACAATGTCAGAAAGTAAAACCTAATTCTGGGTGCCCGGGTCACATGTCTTCTGATTTATATGACCTGTTACCGCTTACAGGCTACTATGGATGTTTTAGCAACTTGTGGAAGAAATATGTATATTATTGCTAGGATGACAGGCCAGTAGCTCACTGTGGATGTCCAGCACAGTCATACTTTAAAAAACCCCCGAAATCTGTTCAGAAGAACAAGAAAATCTCTCACTTATACCCTTCCTACAGCTAATTTAGGACCTTTACTGTAGGTCTCAAGTTTGTAATCAGATTTAGTGCAGTATTTGGGAGTAGCACAGAATATGACATGAGTATGTGTGGAATACGACAAGGGTATGCCACTACTGCATAGCTAATCCTAACTCTAAGAGGAGTTTAGGCAAAACCATGTGCCAACGCTTTTTTATATTGTTTTCCACAGAGAAAGACATTTTGAATCCTGATAGAGCTGCTACCAGAGTTTGGGGGGATCACTGCCCAGCTCATTAGTCTCCAACATAGAGAACTGACTTTGAAAAGGATGGGAGCACCATGGTTGTACATCGAAGTATAAAAATCAAAATAGGAAAAGGACAGAAATCACATAGTCAGCAGAATCAGTTAACTAAAAGGGGAAAGTAATCATATTTAATGGGAGCTCAGGAAGTGCAGTGAATGTCGGGCAGATCAGCAGAGTTTCACAAAGTCACACAATGTCTGGAACTCAACCGTGCACTGTGGAGGACACTGGACCTATTGTCAAAGATGCTCAACAACTGTTCTACTTGTATCCCAAGAAATAAGATGTCATAGAAGAAACATTTCAGCAGGTACAAGAACAGAAACCTTTGAATGTTACACAAAGTTCCCCGTATTCCAAGTGTGGTGTCCCAAAAGGCCAGAGGATTTTTTCTGAATCCACAAAAAAAATCTAATGAATTCACTCTACATTTGTTATCATTGGCCAAGAGTTGCTGAAGTATCTGGGGACAGGGAGGAATTGCATACACCAAATTATGTATCTCAGTCTTAAATGTAGAGAAAAGTTACAGGAAATCATCCAAAATGGAGCATATCTTTGCATAGCAAAAGTTGTAAATCTGAAGGAGTATTTTTGGTTTTGAATAATGCCATTTGATCAACACAGAGAACTATCTATCCATCGGAGACTGATGAATAATCTGCAGGAAGATCATATATGAAACCAAAGTACACTTTCATGGGAGGCTGTGATACAATAAGCCTTGCAGGGAACAGTTTGCCAGGAACTGGCAATGGCATATCTAACAACCAACCTATGACATTTAGGGACTAAAGGACCTTCAAGCTATTTTACAGAATCGTTACATATAAAAATAGCACTAGGCTGGATCGTTAATAAAGAAGAACAATCTTACCACACAGAAAGACATTAAGTAATTTTTAGATGATCCAGCCTCTACAAAAAGCTTGTTTGCTAACTTTTCCAGTATGGCCACACTATAAAATACTAAATGATTCAGCAGTCTGCTGAATGCTAAAAGTCCTTTGTAAAGATAAAGAAACAGTTATATAATTATTCTACTTTACTTTAGCCAAGACAAGAGTCTTAGTGAACACTACATTTTCTGCTCCTTAGGGAACATTTCCAATTATATTTCGCGCAGAGCAGGAAAATCTGCCTATCACGTGGAGCTACCGAGAATTTTCTCTTAGCATCTCTTCAGAGAAAATTCTTCATTAATTACAGATCATCATCCATGAATCTTGCTAAAAAACACAGAAAATAAAACCAGAAACTGTATCTACCACCTCAAGAGATGTAGCTTCAAAATAATTAAGGATCCAACTGAAGAAACAGATCAACCAAAGAAAGAGAACCAACCAGAAACGATAAGCCAAATCTCTGTATGACATGGAATAATGCAAATGAAGAAAAGAGGGTTAACTCCTAATAGGGCACGTATGTAAGCAGATATACTATTATCTTTGTGAATAAACGCATACTCGACTGCAAGCAAATTTACCAGGAAGAAAGAATATTTGCTACACCTCGCCCCCATCCCCCCCAAAGTCCCAATGCAGCAACCAGAAGCTAATTGCTAAATGACCTCTCCGCCTGCGGCTGCTTAGGTCTGTCAAACTTTAAAAAGCAACTACAGAAAAGCATTCTGGGGGGAAAAAAATTGCCCATGGATTTTCCAGGTAGCCAGAAAGAAAGATGCCTTCTTGAGAAAGGGTCAGCTGCTGAGTTTGAGAAAGGGACAGACAAACCATAAAAATAAAACTTTTAAAGAGAATGCAGAGTTTAAGAAAAAAATATCAGTATTACAATAACAAGTAAGATATTTCTTTTGCTCCTACTCACCTAAACCAGATTTTTTTAACCTCTTTAAGTGCTGGCTTGTTTGTTTTCCTGTTGGAGACTTTTGCCCATGTTTCATCTCTTTATCAGAACCATCTGCTTCACCATTTTTAGATTCAGATCCTTAGGAAAGAATAAAAACCCCCAAACATGATACTGATGCGCTTTGTACCAACAATTCCCCCCAGCACCCCCTACACCGTAAATAAAGCAAAAATAGGGTTTAAAAAAAAACAACCTGACATGCACTTGCTGAAATACACCTTTCTGGTCACAATTCGATTCCTCATCACCAGAGGAAATGGAAGTAAAAGCTCAATAAATCAATTAAGTGCTAAAAACTAAAGTTTACTGAACATTGCAGTCAATAAAAATGTTCAGTGATCTAATAAAAACAATGGTTTCCTATAATGCCCAAGAGATATCTTTAAAAATATTTTAACCTCAAGTTACGGGGCAGTAAAGTAATCTAAAGGCGAAAAAAAGATCGTTTCTTTGTGAAGAAACATTTACAGAAGAGATATGCCTGGAAATACAATTGTCAATTTGTGTTAAACATATAGAAATCTCTTAAAATGAAGCAACTTAACCACCAGAACTAAAGGTCAAGGTTACGCTGCAGTGATAAGCATGGTGCCAGGAGAAGGAAAGCTAACAAAAGGATCCGCGTATTGCCATGCAGAATTGAGACACAAACTCACATTCACAGAGAAGCTTGCCTTCCCCCCCCTCCCTTTTTTATGGCATTGAATACCAGCATGTGGTCCTCCATCAGAGTTCCAGAGCCAAACAAAATGTTACTTTGCATTCCTTTTAAGCTGCTGCTAATACCAATTGTCATTTTACCGTGTGCCTTCAGTTCTTTATTAAAGAAAAATCTCCATCCTTGAGACCCCAGGTTTGATAAGGAAATAAAGACGTTAAACAAAGCCACCAAGTGGAAATATTATTTCAGCAGTTCCAAATTCTGTGTGCTACACAGCTGATTCGGAGGAAGGCTCTGTGACTAGAGCTGATCTTGCAAGCGGTCCTTTAGCTATTTACCTGAAGGTGAATCCGACTGCTCATCAGACACCTTTAATGGTGTCAAAACAACACGAGGAACAGTCTTGTTTACCATCATTGAGACTCCATTTCTTCTTTTCTGCTGTTGTCTTAAAGCCTACAAAAACGATAACAAAACATAAAAATGTAACAAAAGCCAATGATTATAAGTGAATTACACGAGACATTTCTCTACTATTAAACCGAATCTCTTAAAATAAGCATAATTTACACAGCTACTGACTTGCCAGACTTCACATTCGTCCCCTTTATGTCATTTTCCTTTAAAATATAAAATCAGGCTTTTGGTTATAAAGAGAAAGAAGATGCACCTTAGATCATTTTCCAATACGGTTTGACAACAAAGAAGGACGTAACTGTTTGCTCTACCTTAACAGCACAACATGATAACCCATGGAATGTGAAACTAAGACTTCCAAGTAAAAAAAAGGTAAAATAAATGTTTCAAAACCAGGATAAATATATATATGTCTGCACATCTCTCGCAGGTGCATCCTCTCCAGTATACTGCTCAGTCAATCAAGTTAACACAGAGTGTCATCAGTATGTACAGCATGTAAGGACTACAGTATTGATGCACTCACTCAGCCGTGAGTAGTGCTGCACAAAATCACTGAACATGGCAGGAATCATTTATTTTTGTGAAGGGAATCAGTCCTAATCTTGGAAACCTTGCAGCACTTGGCTTCTGTCTGCTTGACTTTGGGCATTAACCTTCAGAACACGAACATGATGGTGTTCTGGCAAATCTGGGGAAAAATGATACAAGAATAAATCTCTACAAATAGGAGTGCTTTGTGTTTCATAAATGGATCGAATACAGGGTTGATAACGTAATACAAAATATTTAAAGATTAGAAATAGCAAATACCTGTCAGACTGTTTTATATGGAAAATGGTATCTGATTCAAAAGATCTTAAAACATACAAACATGTACACTTGCCAATTAATACATTTGCAGGCTTTAAAATTCTGGAATTAATCAGAATGGGCTGGGCTTCACACAGATCTCTCCTATCCTCTTGTCTATTTTTCTCCAGTCTTACTGTGCACTCCTTTTATAACTGTGATTTGTGTTATGATCTTGAGGGGGATTTTTAAAGTAATACTGTATCAGCAAGGAACATATTTGATAGGAATTATCCTTCTAGGTTTATGAGCATGAATGGCTGATGCCTTATAAGGTTTAAGTCTGTAACTTTAATTAATCTGTAATATCTTTCTAAAATGTTCACATAGCTAACATAGCTAAATAAATTTAAAAAAAAACTCTGAAAAAAAAATCAATATCACTCTATTCCTTTACATAACACACTACACAAAATACACCAAGCCACACAAAAGCTATTTCATCGATTAAGAAGTGTATTATAAAAGGGCTTAAAAGACACATTAGCACTGTGCAATAAAAAGCAACTTAGAACACTTGAAATCAAACAAAGAGAGGAAGCTGGTCAGATCTGCACTGAACCAAAAAAGCAAGCAGAAAGCCATGAAGAACAGACTACACTTCACACATTTTTGAGACAGAAAATTCATACAGGTCTTCTGCAAGCACAGCTAGACCTGCGGACAGCCAATTCCAAAATGTTGACATTTCTCAAAAATTCCCCCACATTCCAAAAATGACCCTCAGGGCACAGTCCTGCCAAGCTAAAGTGTCAAACCAGGTGATCTTTATTTAATAGTAATACCACCCAGACAGTAACAAATAGTCCACTAAAAATTAACTGAAAAACCAGCCAAGTTCTACGCTAAGAGCATACCAATATAACCACAACCCAAACTGTATCGTGTGCCCCACGACCTGATGTGCCTGATGAAGAGCAAAGGGAATAAACATCCATATTTAATGTCATCCTCCCTAGACAAACGAGTAAGAGCCCAAACGATGCCCCACGTCCTCCTCCAGTCTCCTCCTGACCTTTCAAGACAATTTCCACCTCTACCAGGGACCACACCCTTGTTGCCAACACCCATCAGAAAATACCATTTTACTGATTTATGCAGCCACTGTGACAAAGGTAGATTCTTTGTAAAGCCTCACAGTTGATTTTCAACGCTTTAGGTTGAGCTCCTCACGAATGAGAGGAAGCAAGCAGCAGGGTATTCTCCACCAACGAGAGGCAGCCCGGTTCGTACGCCTCAGGTGACGCACGCGCTGCGGAAGCGAGGGCAGCGGTACCCAACCCTTGCCAAGCGCACCACTTACCTTCTTTTCGTGTTACTGGAAGGCCACTTGCGGACCTTAAGGACACGTTTATGCAACTGCTCTGGCACTTCCAAGAAGCACAGGCCACCCCATGCTCACAGAGCACTAATGCAAGACAGCTCGGCTCATCCCAGCACTCCTTGGACACTCAGAGCCACAAAAGTGGGGAACGCAGCTGGGAGCAGGCAAATGTTGCTACCAGAACTATTTACTTTGAGGCACAGCCCGCTTCTGAGCTACAGGCTAAGCACCTCAACACGTGAGGATCAAGCACAAACCTTAAAGACACCATTTCCCTTTGACACATTTGCTTTTCAGTTGTTTTTTTCCCCCCTAACATTCATCGTTTCACTGCCAGTCCCCCATCCCCACCAGTTCACAATGCAAGGAACCAATCACCACACAGAGACCACAGTTAAGTTTGGAAATCAATCTGTACAGGATGACTCAAGCTGACAATAAAGCTACACATATGTGGACATCTGAAATACAGGTTGCAGAAAGGAAAAAAAAACATTACAACCATGTGGACATCACAATCTAAGTCAAAGTTTTAACACAAAGTGCCAACAAATTACGCTGTGCCCAGAGAATGGAAAAATAATCTTCCCTATGCCTCTCTATCGTGTCATTTGTCAAAGGCAAGATATGAGGCAGGGGAGGAAGGTACAAAAGTATCAAATAAATAATTTAACATTTGATTTGCAAGGTAGAAAGATGGCTGCTCAGTCATCCTGTTTAGTGGGATGCATTATTCACAGGTAAACACATCGATTTTGGGTTAAATTCTTCGAATTTAAAGCCGCAGGGTCTGAAATTTTGGATAGACAAGTCTTTGCAAGACAACACTAGGAGCAAGCCAGCAGAGGGAGAAATTGCCGACTGATGCTAGTTACTAGTAAAGCCAAACACAGTTAAACACAGTAACATATAAACCAAGGACACTCTGTGCAGTCTCTGCTGAGGACGAATATATAATCTCTCTATGCTTAGCCTGAGGGACATTAATTTTAGGATACAAGACTACTGTAGGATAAGACAAGAATCTTGTATCCCAAGATTAATTCTACTTAGCTGGGAAGTCAATGGGATTACTCAAAGTGAAACATACACCAAACGCTTTGCTATATTGAGCTTTCAGGGCACCAAGCTAATTTAGTGCTTTCCTAGTCACCACGACCAAATAAATCTCGAGTTTTGGCTCTTCTGGTGAAGAGAACAAACACAAAGTAGATGAGTCAAATTTGTAACTAGCACTGAAGAAAATGAGAAATTTCATAACGTATTCCAAAGAAAAATGGTTCCAAATCTTACTGTAGATCTAGAAACAGTAACTGACACAAACTACATGGGCATTTTTTACCGACACAGCCTTTTGCATCTCATCCATATTTAGAGATATATAACCCCCTATCTGGGCTTCCTACAGATCTGCAAGAAAGAGCTGATGATTCTACCAAATGATAAGGTGTCATTTTTACTATGGAAAGTAAGAGAGAAACACATACAGCACATACGACAGCTTACATAAAGTATATATTTTTTTACTAAGACTCTATGTTTGCATTTCAAATGTATCCAACCACTTTGTGCTAAATGCTCGAGTTAAAAAAGCTTCAAGCTGTAAATTCCTAGAACTGATCCCTGTTGAAGTATTCTGTAAAGCATTACTACCATCCTATCTTGATGGCACATGAATGAAAAAGAAGAGAAAGAAAATCAAAGTTCATGTTGTATACAAGTTAAATGTTAAAAGCTCTCTTAAAATGACCACCAAAATTGTACTTACATCCAGCCTTTCACAAGCAGATTTGCAAAGGACATCTGTGAATCTCTCGCACATAATGAGTATGGAGAATTCCCAATATTCCCATTCATAAAAATGAACCTGTGACCATCTGTTGAATAACACTGCCACGGTCATTATACAGAGCCTGGCATAATTAATTTGTTTAATTAAATTATTTTTATTGCCAAAATCTTTAAGTAACCTATGAATCCACTTTCATCCAAAGAACTCAAAATAACATAAAAAGATGTGTATTAAGAAAATGCAAACTCTGAAGATAGATGGCAAAAGAAAAACACCAGGCAATCAACAGCGATCTCCTAATTCCAAACGGTTTTTTACAAAGAGGTGAAAAGAACAAGTCTCCTTTCTTTTGGGGAGTTTATGCCCCTGCTGGAGTATAGCAGAATGTTGCAAGTTTCATGAATGTCATCATCTGTTCTCAATAATTTCATATTTAGTTGATCTTAAGACAGCAGAGACTTCTTCACCCACGTGACAAAACGGTTGACTCTCTTCAGTAAAAACTAATAAAGTCGTCTTTGACGTAGAAATGAAAGGAAACAACATAAACTAAAAGGTAACTGGAGAGAGGGGAAAAACACATCCCCAAAAGAGCACCAGAAACAAAACGTGAAGCTCTGTGCTCTGATTTTACTGCTGCTTGGGATACTTTTCATGATTTTTCTTTCCCACATCTTTTCAACTCAAAATGAAAAAAGGCAGCATACAGCTAAACCATTAATGCAGAAAAGCACTTTCATTTCAGCTTAAACGCATGACATGCTGAGAATGTTAAAAATTAAGTTATTAACAACAAAGATATGTAACACTTGGTTGCATTAAGCAATGTTGTCCCAGATTTCTATTTGTTCTATAAATGTCAAGTCTACATTCTGAAACTCATATCGTGAAACATAACCTTTGGAATTTCACACATTATGAATCAGAAAAGTAAAGCTATGGAACTCTTCCGTTCTGCCACGTGAAAAACACAAGCTATGATACACTGAGAAAAGACTATTGTACAAAATAAGTAACAGCTCTACATCGTAGTCATGGATCCCAAATTGGCAAAGATGAAACAGATTTATA